CACGGTGACGTGGTGAGTCACGTGAACATCAGCAGCGCCCGCGTGGGCGACGGTGGGCGCTACGAGTGCGTCGCCCACAACAGCGCGGGCGCCGACGCCCACTCGGCCCGCCTCAACGTCTACGGCCCCCCCACCGTGCGCCCCATGGGGCCTCTCACTGCGGTCGCGGGCCTCACCTTCCGCGTGGCCTGTCCCGTGGGGGGACATCCCATACACAAAATTACCTGGCAGAAAGGTAACTGCACAGTATAATTAAACTATATTCAATTATTTAATTGAGTGAGAGAATTCATTCTATTTCTGTAAAATTCAATCACCTCAGTTCAAATATAATAATATTCTGTGAATTTCAGTCCTGAAATTGAAATGCTGTCTTCCATAGTTCCAATGGAAGTAATAGCTATATCTGAATCTAAAAATTAGTGCGATGCCATATAAACAAGACAAGCCATTATTTATGGAGGCATCATGACGTGTTTTTCCGAAATAAAATACTTCGGTGTGGTCTGTCCACAGACGGGCAGCTATTGCCCATTAACCACAACCAGTTGGTCTTCGACAACGGCACTCTGACGTTAACGGAAGTCAATCGGAAGACAACAGAAGGCCGTTATACCTGTTCAGCTTTCGACAAACAGAACAATTCTGATCATGGGCACTTCGATCTCAAAGTCGTTGGTGAGTGAATTGCAAGAAATCATTCGAAAATTTATTTTCATAGCCACGACCTTATTTTAGACGAGTATCATGAACGAAAAACTTTTTTTCAGAGTCGGAAAAGATGTCATCTTCCCGAGTAAATGATAAGAATCCGGAAGCATAAAATTATTTGTAGTTTAGGTATAAAGAACAGGATATCTGCTCACATTTCCTATCTGCTCCGAGAGAACTGCAGTTTATAGAACATTTGGCTGGCATTTTCTTGTGTGCATTGCAGTGCCTCCTCACCTGGGGCCGTTGATATTCCCCTCGGGCACCCGCGTCGGCATGAGGACTCAGAGCGCCTGCTTTGTCCAGGAAGGGGACCTTCCGATAGATATTCACTGGCAGAAAGATGGACAGAGGTTGCGCTTGTCCACCAACGTCAAAGTCAGTCAACTGGACGACTTCACGTCCATCCTAACCATCACTGACGCTGCGTCGGAGGACGCTGGCAACTACTCCTGCGTGGCCAGCAACGCTGCTGGTGCCGTGGCAACGTCTGCCATGCTTATTGTCAACGGTGAGAATAATTCCCTCGTAATTGAAATGAAAATTAATACAAAATTCGAGATTTATTTCTATTCGATGGATCGTCTGAATGTTAAAATCCAGCAAGTATCTTCATCCGCACAAGCATACGCATTGGTGAATTCATATCAGGCACTTTCATCGACCAAGCTTAGCGACTGTTAAAAGATGAATCCGTACCAGCAAATATATTTTATGTCATAATAATTCCCCATAGCGCTTATCAATATAGCCGAAACACGACCAGATTTAAGCGTTATCTGCACATTATAACGATAAAAGGAGGAAAATTATTGTTAAAAGGCACGAAAAACTTAATCAACTTTTTTGCAGTCCCTCCATCGTGGATGTTGTCGCCGCATGACGTCAGTATCCCGCTAGGAGGCTCCGCTGTGATGCCGTGCTCAGCCAAGGGTGTCCCGCTGCCACATATTGAGTGGCAGAGAAAAACTGGTGGCAATCTTATTGATCAATAATAATTATATGTTAATTTTTATCACTTGGTCGATATTGGTACGGTAGTAGTAGCATGGTGGCAATTTGAACTTGAGTAATATTTTCTAATAATTGTTCGTGGCGTTTTATTCCTGTTTCAATATGTTTTTTCTACAGCTTCAGGAGAATGGGCGTCAATTGAGAAGATAACTGATGAGTACCAAATGAATATGGCAACTGAAGATGGAAACTTGCCATCATTTACTGGGGATTCTTTCAGCAATAGATTATCCATAATAGCTCCAAAAAGATTTCCGAATACCATGAAAGATAATTTCCTCTTGAACACTGGAAGTGAATCTTTCGAAGCCTGGAATAATCCAAAAGCTGTAACATCATCGTGGCATCCTGAAACGAATGATGCTTCAGCCTGGAACACAACAGCCGACCAAAACTCCGAATGGAATCTTAAAATAGAAGATTCTTCGCCACACTGGGACACAGGAATTGACGGATCCTCATCTTGGATGGACCCTAGCGGTGAACCTGAGGCCGCAAGACGTCCTTCCTCGCGTAAAGTTTTGAACGGAAGTCTAGTGGTCTCGGCCGCCGCCCGCAACTTCGAAGGCCTCTACCGCTGCCAGGCCAGCAACGACGTCGGGTCCAGCCTCTCAAAAGTCATCACGCTTACCATCCACGGTGAGACTGCCGCGTGTGTAGTGCATATTTGCTGGCCGTACGAACGTGTGGGATTACCTGGCGAATATTTTACAATGAGACAATGAGGATGCTTCGTTGTATCTGTTGGAGCTGTTGGAGGGATAACTCATCTTGCTGGCTTATCAAGGATATAGTTTGGCATTCATGCACGTTGTCGTGAATGTAAAGCAATGTTTCAGTTTTAACCTAATTTGCTCACAATATTTCTAATACTGTGAAAGGAAGTTCTTTAGAATATATGTTAACCCTAAAGTATGATTATTTGAGCACATTCTTGAATCCAAAAAACTATAGAAATTTACGCCATTGCTGATGCCATTATTAAGTGAAATTTAAGCAATAATTGTACCTTAACTTTCAACTTTTGAACCGTGGCTCCACTTGAACTTACAAAGGAACAAGTGATCCCGAATTAATAATAAGAAGGGAAGCATGAGTGACTAGAGAAATGATCCTCCAGAGCCTCCATGGTTCCCCGAGCGGAGTCGCCGTCTGGTGCGGGTGGAGGTCGGAGCTCCATCCTAGCAGGTACCAACTCTCCTGGACCAAGGGTGGGGCCCCGCTGGTCCCCGCTCACAGGTACTCACCTCCTAGCAGGTACCAACTCTCCTGGACGGGTGGGGCCCCGCTGGCCCACGCTCACAGGTACTCACCTCCTTGCAGGTACCAACTCTCCTGGACCAAGGGTGGGGTCCCGCTGGTCCCCGCTCACAGGTACTCACCTCAGGTACCAACTCCCCTGGACCAAGGGTGGGGCCCCGCTGGTCCCGGCTCACAGGATCTATCCCCATAAGTATTAGGCCTATCGCCATCTCCTCTTCCATCTGTCACTGGGTCCTCTTCTCGTCTGTCTTCACAAAAGCTGTTTCCTTCACTTCCCTCATCCCGTCATTGTAACTAATCACCGTCCCGGGGATCAGGTTGTAGGCAGCTCTCAACGAGGTTCAATTATCCAGTACAAAAAACACTCCCAACTTTAATTTTGATTTATACAAATTCGGTAGCGTCAGAAACAGGAATATCCATTCCATCCATCCCATGGGCTGCAAAAATCAATCCCAGGATAATTGTAATTTGTTCAGCGGTTACGAGACGGCATCTGCAGCGGACAATTCCGGGGCTCAGACGCTGCAGCGGAGGATCCCTGCAGCCGCTGCCGCAGACGCCGGGGAGTTTGTGTGCGAGGCAAGCAACCCACACGGCGCGGCGAAGGCATACTTCACCGTCCTGGTAGAAGGTACTAATTGAATAATTTATTTACTGGGCGGTGATAATCACATTATTTTTATCGTGACAATGAAATCTGCTTATGTACTATCCGATTAAATCATACTCAAATTTTTAATTTGTAAATGAAAATATTGATTAGTTGCACTTAGTGATGATCGACTGTATTGAATAATAGTTGACCGATGATAATATTTATCATAGATTGAGTGATTCGACGTAGGATTTATTTCTCTGACTGATCATTGATTGCTTTGATCAATGATTGACTACTTTGTCTGATTATATTGATTTCTGTGACTGAAGGTGGAGGTAGTGCTCATGTGACGTGCATTGTGACAGTACCTGGTGATGGAAGATTGTAGTAGTCGATGAAATGCTATATATGCTGGACTACAAAGGACTAGAATGGAACGTACTGTGATATTTACGTGCTCGGTCGGTAATTGGATTCTGATCTTCACGGAAACAAACACAGATGTCCCCGGTGCCCCGACCGGAGTACAGGTGCGTGAGAGCGACTCCCGACACGTCACGCTCTCTTGGTCGCCACCTGTTACGTCCTCGTCAGTGAAGGCCCCCGTCGTGTCGTACGTCATCACGCTAGAACAACACAGCGACGACGGTATGCAGCGCCGGTGCCCATTGTTTTTTTGAGAATTATTTTTTTAGGGAAACTGATATAGCAGTGACAATGAAACATTGAACGTCTGATCGGTGTTTCTAAATTTTACTTCTATCGTGCTTTACTTTTTATATATAGTTTTACAAGAATGAACGATGAGTTATGTGCTTCCACCTCTTTTTTTTATCATGTTCCATCCTTGTTCTTGTTTATTCCTCACTCTTATTTCATCCTTTCACCTGTTTCCTACTCATTCTAGTTCCATTCTCGCACTTTGTTAACTTCATTTCACTACACATCATTATGCTCCCGTCTTCGGCCACGTAGCGTTAGTGACAAGCTTGCTATTTCCACTACCACGCAACTGCATGGTAACATCTACAAATCTCTTCTCACGCAGAAGCGATGGAGAGCGAAGCGTTGCTGGACCCTCAAGCGACCGACAGTTCGGGGACCAGGGACCCAAACACGGGCGTCGGGAAGGCGGGTGACCGCAGGGTTGAAGTTTTGGTTTCTGGGTCGAGCCTCAGCCACCGCGTGTCTGGTCTGCTGCCGTACACGTGGTACAGCTTCTCTGTCGCCGCCCAGAACAGCGTAGGGCGAGGACCGAATTCTGGACCCTTACGTCACCGCACCCAGGAGGAGAAGCCGTCTGCACCGCCCAATAATGTGCAGGTCAGTCGGTGCACTTATTTTAAGAAGCCATCTGCTCAGTCCACAAATGTGGTCAGTCGGTGCACCCATACAAAAAAAGTCTTCGCCGACCACTAATGTACTGATCTGTCTGTCTGGTTGCCTGTCAAAGACCAACATTGCCTATATAGCGTCGCATGGACTGGCATGATCCCTTCATCCATTGACGTTGCTTCCAACAATCCTGGTCAATTACAAGTCACGCTACATGCCCGCTGCGTTTCAGTCCCGAGTTCCGGTAGCCTTTTACACGTGTGTATTGGTTAGTAAGCTCAGAATCAGATTATCTTGCCCATATTATCTCTATGGACTCAGGAAATGATTCGTTGTAAGTAACCAGCTTTCCTTATCTATCCTTCTTGATTAATATTTGAAAAGGATGTGGTCTATTACAGGCGGCACGCTGCACCTTCTCATTTTGCCTATCTTTTCTCTATACGCTCAGGCTGCGGTTCGTTGCAGGTGCTGCACAGTACCAGCTTCTTGTTCAACTGTTATGTTCTCAGGATATTCAATGCAGGTGGTGAGTTCGAGCTCTCGATCGCTGCGCGTGACATGGTTGCCTCCGCCTCGCAGCGCCTCACACGGACGCCTCCTGGGCTACTACCTCGGTATCCGCCTCCGCCTCCTCAGGTGCGAAGCCTCGCCATTTATGCGTCTGGTCTGGCATACCTACAGCTGATGCTCTTTATATAATTTCCGCGTATCTAGATAGTTTTCATTGTCAAGAAGGTGAAGTTGTTAATGTAATAATAGTCCAATATGAGGTATTATAGAGTTCAATATAGAGGGACGATGCAAGACGTTGACCTCTTGACGTGTTGGCAGCACGATGGACGACGCAAGTGACGAAGGCAGCGCTTACAACTTCACGACGGTGGGCGGTAGCGATACTTCGTCCACCGCCACGCACACCATCGTCACTGACCTACATCCTCACTCCTTCTACGATGTCATCGTCAGAGCCTTCAACTCCCGAGGGGCTGGACCCTCGTCAGACCCTGTCATGGGGCAGACCCTGCAGGACAGTGAGTGTTCTCCTCGTTCTACGGTATTATTTGAGTAAATTCTCTCTGATGTTGAACCTCAATGCCTTCCCGTTTTGGAAGAAAGCTTTCAACGAATTTAATTTTGCAACGCAACTAATGATACTGATTGTTAACAAAGTGGATCCGTGAACTTGCTTGTGATACGTTCAGCAATCGCTTTCGGGAAGCGATAATAATAATATTAATTAATAAATAACCACAAGTTCTTAAGTCAAAATGGTTGCAGTTCGTTCGGAGGTAAGACAAAATCTCGTGAAAATGCCCGTACCTATTAGAGACGAAAAAATAAACTGGAAACGCAAAAATTTTCTATGACAGTGTAAAACCTTATTCAAGAAGAGAAAAGAATACAAAACTTAGAAGCAAGACACAAATAATGAAACTTGCGTTAACAAGTAAAGACCTTTTTTATGTAACTATTCTCAGCGACTTGTATTGTCATTAAGAACAAAAATTGTAATAATGGGATACTAAATAATGAAATACTGAGTAAACTATCCTGATAACTGATCATGATGTAATGACTAATGAAACAGTCCCCGATTTCACTAGCAAGAGTCTGGGAAAAAAAGGACGAGTTAGCAGCGCTGATGCACCATTGCTAACATTTGTTACTTCAAAATCTGCTTAAATGTACGTCATTAATAATGTTCGCCACAACTAGCAGACTCTTACCTCTCAGAGAGAAGCCGTTTTTCATCCTAAATACTATCTGAATATTGTCATTTTCCATAACAACCCATAACAGAACCGTGTCAATTGCCCGTCAGAACCCTCGGCACCCCCCACATCAGTGACATGTGAGGGCCTGAGAGCCACATCACTGCTGGTCTCTTGGTTCCCCCCGCCAGAGGGCGCTCGTAACGGAGAGCTCACGCGCTACCGAGTGTCGTATTCAGCTCTCCGCCACGCCGGTGAGATGCCGGCGCTGCTGCGCGTTGCGTCACTTATATCGCTTCCTTCACTTATAACTTCGGTGCTCCTAATGAATTTTGTTAGAACTTTCTGGTAACTATTTATTATTCATTTGATGACTCGTTTTAAATAATTAATTTCAGTCATATTAGAGTAAAATTGAATTATATGTTTCGCCATTTGTTACTTTTTGACACGCGACGTTCTAACATAATAAACGGTTTTCCTAAAATCTATATGATGGCGATCTGAAGAACCGTATCACTGCTACGGTGCACTCAGTAACAGAAGATATGCTTTCTCGTGTGTGGGACGAGTTTAACTGCCGTTTAGATGTTTGCCGTGCAGCACAAAGGGGACATATTCAACATTTATAAATGCAGTAAAAAAAACTTTGCATCTTTCTCTTTCCTTTTGTGTATAAAGTTTTTTTTTAATTCACATATGAAAAATTACGAATATATGAAATTGGTCCCATCATTTAGTATAATCTTGCAGTTCATCGGAAATGCTTCTTGATTACTTCATTAATTATTAGTTTTGTTTTTATATGTAACATCGTATTAAGCAGAGCACCCGGGGAACAATTCAGTAATTTCTTGTTAAGGTAACGGGTTTCATAGTAAATTTCGAGTTTCTTATTTCACTGTGTGGTCTGTTGAATATATCGAAGTGTACTTTCGTATATAGTTCATGCTTGCTTCAAAAAATCGAAGTTTGGAGCTCAAAAGTCGTGGAAAGTTTATGCTTTGCTTCAAAAAATAGATGTTTGGAGTTCAAAATTTAACTCTAATTGAAATATTCTTAAATTATACTTTATATATGATTTAGTGACATATAAAGTAGGTATTTCTTAGCAAGCTCATACTGCATCAGGCTTGCCAGACGGTCTTTTTTCCGGAAAAATTCCGCGATTTAGCTTTTTCAATTGCGTTGGCCGGCTAAAATTTATGATAGGGGTACTTACTAATTAAATTTAAATAAAAAATAAATGGAATTTTATCACCGGAACCTATAAATATATTAGTAGGTTTTGAGTTATCGGACTTTCTTGGCCTTTTTTGTTCGCGGAATTGGCCGTTTTTTAGGCCATCTGTCAACCCTGTAATACATACTTTCTCGTTCAAAGCGATATTCTGTATCCCAGATCCGGCAACCGCTCAGCCTTTACGACAAGCATTTATGAACCCTGCAACTCCGTCATCACTGCACTACGTGTCTTCCGATGAACATCACGTCGATGTTCGCAAAGTAACTTCAACGCAATTGGAGAACCTCGAGGCATTCACCAATTATTCTGTGGCCGTGGCAGCGGCTACTGAAGCAGGCGTTGGTGTCGCTTCTGAGGCTTTCATTTGCAAAACGCTGGAGGATGGTGAGTTTCCTTGCACTCGAATAAATTAGATATTTCATTATTTTCATTTAGCTTTTTATTGACATTTTCGAATGCCGTTGCATTCTTGCCGTTGGGCGACAACAAATTTCGTATTATTTACTTGTTTGTTTTAACTAATCCACTTCCTATATAGACAACCGCTTGAAATCAGCGGGCATTGAGGCATTATGGTAAAACTTTGCCGTTTTTGGCGAATTCGAATATTTATTTAACATATAATATCTTTGAAATAAACGGGAAAATGTTGATTTCATATGATAGCATTGAATTACGGTATCCATCAAACTCTCTCCCTCTACTCTGTTGCTGTATTTATTTAGCATGACTCCCATCTGTATTTATGCTCTTCATTGCAGTCCCTACGGCCATCGAGGAAGTGAAGGCCTTCGCAACAGGCCCCCAGAGCGTGATCGTGTCTTGGTCGCCCCCCAGAGCGGCGAGGGGGCGGCTCACACACTACACTGTTTACTGGGACTCTGCTGCCAGTCGCTCGTCTCAGACGCACTACAAGAAAGTTGAGCCCAACCATCATCATCTCAAGATCAAAGATCTTCCCCAGGAAACTATCGTGGTGTGTAAAATAACCCTCTGGTGCCTGATAATGACATGACCATAGCATTTATATCCCAATCTTGTGTATAGTAGCGACATCGTGTTGATGATCATTTTCATATAAACGGTCTTTTTCAACAACCTCGTTGATGCGTGTAATTTAATAGTCAACCTCATGACATTTTTCCAAACATTTAATACGTCGTGAACAAAAGATTAAATTGAAAAATCAGCGTTGTGCAGAAGCTCAACTAACTGCGTGATTACTTTTAATGCAAGTGACATGCCTGAAATTCCTTAAGGGGACCGCCCTAGCATACGAAGACTTCTACAGTTATTATCCGATTGTCATGAAACTTCACATACATACGTAAAATGTAAAAAAAAACATTTTGCTCCTATGAATTTTTCGAAAAAATTCGAAAACGTGAAATTCATAGAAAACGGCTAAAAAGGGGTACTTTAGAAAATCTATCTCCTCACACAAATATCATCCTACAACATCGAGACACGTATCAATCGATTCGTAAAGACCATATCTATTGACTCTAACATCACTTTTTTCATTTTCCATCTAGTTTTTTTTATTGCGTTTTTTTCTATTTTTCCCATTTTTTTCTCATTTTTCACCCCTCTCCCCCTTCTCCCCCATATAAAAAACGAACCAGACCGAAATTCAAAAAACTGATGTTAGAGTCGATAGGCCTGGTCTTTACGAATCGAATGGTATATGTCTCATTGCTGTAGCTTGAAAACTGTAGGAGGAGATAGATTTGCCGTGAGAGCAGTATGAGGTTTTCAGTACGGCCAAAAGACTGCCCGCGCGGCGCTTAAATAGACATAAAAGAGTCGCAACGCAGCCAAGATACCGTAACTTAGCCTTAAACCATTCAAGAAGGTATGGAGCAACTGGCTGCACACCTTTCACGTCGCTGTCATGATGGGCACTGAGAGGTTTGGCTTCAGCTCGCAGTTTTAGTAGTCACGCCCCGTAATTAGTGCCTTAGGAATTACTTAAGGCCGCCCCCATCCCCCCCCCGTTCTATGGGGCGTGGTGCAGTAGAAAATGGAGGTACAAAGATGGGTGTACCACCAATCGATGCGTAAGAAAGTTCATGACATTTTTCCAAACATTTAATACGTCGTGAACAAAAGATTAAATTGAAAAATCAGCGTTGTGCAGAAGCTCAACTAACTGCGTGATTACTTGTAATGCAAGTGACATGCCTAAAATTCCTTAACCAAAGCCACATTGACGAGATAACATTATTCCACTTCCGTTTCACTTTCCATGCAGCCATTTTTTTGCGTTACACTAATAATTATTATCGATTTTCCTTATGATCGCAATGATTGGTGATGCGATAACCTGGACACATTCTCGGCAGGTGTGGGTGACGGCGTCGACCTCCATCGGGTCCAGCCCTGAGAGCGACAAGAAGACCGTCACGCCGTCCACTACTGGTGAGAAATTCCTAATATTCCGCGGCGACCGAACACAGCCCCGCTTCTAGCAAGAACTTTCACATGGAAACTAACGTAATTTCTTGCCACGATTTATTATTTCAATGCTTTGATACTGCTCATATTCAAATATCTTTCATTCAGTTTGACTTATTTCTACATCGCCACGACCTTGTTAACTTATTTGTGCTGAATTTTATAATAATTGTCCCTCGACTGGAGGTGTCAACATTGAGAGATTTTTATCCCTACTGTGAGATTTTTGCTTAACATTGCCTTGAATTTGTTTGCAGTTGTCTCTATCCTATCTCCGACACGGTCCTTATTAATGCTGTGGTTACGAGACTATGAGCTGCATTAAACTTATTCCAGAGCACAACTTGATCCATTACCATTTCCGCCATTATTTAGAGGTTTCAGGTGTTATGCAAGTGCGACGGGACTCACAATTATCTTTCATTCGGCTTCAACCCTTTACCCGCCATCGTGCAGAGGCTGACAGCGTTCAGCCGCTGCACGGCGAGTCACATTCAACTAAACGCAATATTAATCCTTCTTTTACCGATCAGTATGCAGTTGGTGCGGGCATTCAGGAGATGAAAAAGCTTAAGATTGTTAACTTACAACATTCAACCCACTATAACCATCCTCTTATCCGCCATTATGCAGTTGGTGCAGGCATCTGCATGGTCAGTGGGCGGAGGCGTGCTCGTAGATTGGAAGCAAGACGCACTCCTGCAATGCAATATAACCATCCTTTTATTCGCCATTATGCAGTTGGTGCGGGCATCTGGTCGGTGGGCGGAAGCGTGCTCGTCAATTGGAAGCAAGACGCACTCCTGCAATGCAATATAACCATCCTTTTATCCGACATTATGCAGTTGGTGCGGGCATCTGGTCGGTGGGTGGAAGCGTGCTCGTCAATTGGAAGCAAGACGCACTCCTGCAAGCAATATAACCATCCTTTTATCCGCCATTATGCAGTTGGTGCGGGCATCTGGTCGGTGGGAGGAAGCGTGCTCGTCAATTGGAAGCAAGACGCACTCCTGCAATGCCGCACCATCGGCGTGCCGGAGCCCACCAGGACCTGGACCCGCGGACCGGAGCGCGTCGCCCTAAACTCCCCGGGGTGCGCTTGCCAGGTTTAACGCAGCTCACATTATATGTATTCTATGTTGAGCTTAATTTTCTTCATCGAATCTTTCAGGATACTTGGGCCCAACATTTTTTGCAAAAATTTTTGACATTTTCGGCAATACGTACGTAACAGAGAAATTTGGGGCGTAATTATTTTTTTAACTTATATTTTCATAATTTGAACACAATCTTAATCCACAATTTTTAATTATTTATTCATTTAAAAATTATACATATTTTCTTTCGAACTTTTGGTGCAGGCTCTTAGTGCTGGACGACGGCTCACTGCGCCTCGTCTCCCCGGGCCGAAGTCACAGCGGCTCCTACAGCTGCTCGGCTGCCAACAGCTACGGCTCAGACACCATCACGTACAACGTCTCCGTGCGAGGTCTGGCATGTAGCAGTTTTGGTTGTCAAATTCTTCCTGAACTTTATATATTTTCTACTCAAATTATTTCTTTCATTTAATGAAAGTAGTTTTATGTTCGTAATTTTAGTTCCATGCTTCAGTTTCAGTAAAAAGTGTCCGAGGCAAATTAAAAAAATTCTGCTGTCATGAAAATGTATTTGCGATCAGTGCCACCGTCGCCACCTGAGCTGCACGTCACGGAGACGACATCGTCGTCCGTCAGGCTGCAGTGGGACGTTGCTGACGAAGGAGGCGCAGCTGTGATGTCATTGGAACTCGTCTACTCGTAAGCGGGTAGTTCGATACGAGTCTGCTCGTGGGCGGGTAGTTCAATACGAGTCTACTCGTAAGCGGGTAGTTCAATACGAGTCTACTCGTAAGCGGGTAGTTCGATACGAGTCTGCTCGTGGGCGGGTAGTTCGATACGAGTCTACTCGTAAGCGGGTAGTTCGATACGAGTCTGCTCGTAGGCGGGTAGTTCAATACGAGTCTACTCGTAAGCGAGTAGTTCAATACGAGTCTACTCGTAAGCGGGTAGTTCGATACGAGTCTACTCGTAAGCGGGTAGTTCGATTCGAGTCTACTCGTAAGTGGGTAGTTCGATACGAGTCTACTCGTAGGCGGGTAGTTGGATACGAGTTTACTCGTAAGCGGGTATTTNCAAATGAAATCCTCGCAGTGTTCACAGATGACCATCTGATCATCTGCTCTCAACGAGGTCTCTTTGCAAAACTTGCATGCATCTTCAACTACGCACTTCGATCTCCTATTCGATTTTTTCGGTGCATCTTGTTTCGAAGAACCGCATTCCTTCTTAACAATCTTGTTTACTTTCTTCCCAGCCATCGTAATGTCTTCTTTCTTAATTGTTTAATGATTTCCGGGTTCCTTCACTGAGATTTAGCTAGGGTCTCTCACAGCAATAAATCACCGGAAACAATAAATCACCGGAAACAAGCCTGATGAACACAACCGCCCTACGGTAGTAAAGTTCCGGAAGTACAGCACAGCCGCCCGACGGTAATAAAGTTCCGGAAGTACAGCACAACCGCCCGACGGTACCGGAAGTACAGCACAATCGCCCGACGGTAATAAAGTTCCGGAAGTCCAGCACAACCGCACGACGGTAATAAAGTTCCGGAAGTATAGCACAGCCGCCCGACGGTAATAAAGTTCCGGAAGTCCAGCACAACCGCACGACGGTAATAAAGTTCCGGAAGCAATTCAAAGCAGGAAACAAGTCGGTCAGGCTCCTGGAGCGACTACACAACACGTCTGATCTCCACCGCGTCTCAATCTGAACTGTATTTTATACATATACATATATGAACTGTATATATACATATACAGTTCATACATATATGAACTGTATATGTATTTTATGTTGTCCTTAATTTTATTCAGCGAATCCTTCATAAAATTTGTGCCCAAAAGTTTCTTTTGACATTCATGATAATTAGTAAAATTTGGGGCGTAATTATTTTTTTAACTAATATTTTGATAATTTAACAAAAACTGAATCCACAACTTTAGCTATTAAGATAACGGAAGAAATTTCTATAGGAATCACTTGAAAATTGTAGATATTTTATTTCGAACTTTTGGTGCAGGCTGTTAGTGCTGGACGACGGCTCACTCCGCCTCGTCTCCCCGGGCCGAAGTCACAGTGGCTCCTACAGCTGCTCGGCTGCCAACAGCTACGGCTCAGACATCATCACGTACAACGTCACCGTGCGAGGTTACTCTCATCACTCTTCTTATAGCGACTAGTTAAGCCCAAACTGAATTTTAATTAAAAAAAGAATTAGCACAGGTTTCCTGAAACTTGAACAGCGATGGTGCAACATAAAAACAGCTTCGTCAATAACTGTGGATCATGAAAACTATAATGTTTTGCAGTCAACTACAGCCATATAGTAGGCATGTAGCAGTTTTGGTTGTCAAATTCTTCCTGAACTTTATATATTTTCTACTCAAATTATTTCTTTCATTTAATGAAAGTAGTTTTATGTTCTTAAGCGGGTAGTTCGATACGAGTCTACTCGTAAGCGGGTAGTTCGATACGAGTCTACTCGTAAGCGGGTAGTTCGATACGAGTCTACTCGTAAGCCGGTAGTTCGATACGAGTCTACTCGCAAGCGGGTAGTTCGATACGAGTCTACTCGTATGAGTGTAGTTCGGTACGAGTCTACTCGTAAGCGGGTAGTTCGATACGAGTCTACTCATAAGCGGGTAGTTTGATACGAGTCTACTCGTAAGCGGGTAGTTCGATACGAGTCTACTCGTAAGCGGGTAGTTCGATACACGTCAACTCGTAAGCGTGTAGTTAGATACGAGTCTACTCGTAAGCGGATAGTTCAATACGAGTCTACTCGTAAGCGGATAGTTCGATACGAGCCTACTCGTAAGCGGATAGTTCGATACGAGTCTACTCGTAAGCGAATAGTTCGATACGAGTCTACTCGTAAGCGGATAGTTCGATACGAGTCTACTCGTAAGCGGATAGTTCAATACGAGTCTACTCGTAAGCGGATAGTTCGATACGAGGAGGACCGCGAGGACCGCGTGTTTCTTTGATCGGCTCAGACTGTTTTTCTGGCGTATTGCAGTCACGAGTTCGATACGAACTCCTCAGTTTTAGCGAACATTCTACTGCAAAATGTGACGCCATGTCAAGTTGACTCCGCCCTCTTGAGTTGTTCGGTACACGTTGACCAGTGATTGCATGATTTCTTAATTTCTCGAAAATATCGTCTCAAATGTAGCCTCCAAAGAATAATTAGCAAACCATTCATAATTCTGAATATCCTTAGAGGAGTCTCTTATAATTTTCTAGCGTTATTCTATACGTTTTTGGCCTCAATTTACGCAGAACAGAAGACGGGTTGGCTGTGAACATCAACGTGCGAGGTGACAGCCACACGGTGTACGGCCTGCAGTGCGGCACGCTATACCAATTCCACATTGCAGCCCGCAACGACATAGGTGCGTGTGTATACACTATACACTATGAAATACGATAAATGATCCATTGCCTAAACGCTCAAAATGTGCCTGAATGATTCACGTGAGCGTCATTTTATCAGGCTCGAGCGAGCCGTCGAGCGTTGTGACGGCTCGCACGAAGGGCCGAGCTCCCGTGGCTCCCCCGCTGTTCCAGTTCGTGACCAGCAACAGCACCCAGGCCACCCTGTACCTCACCCAGTGGGACTCTGGGGGCTGTCCCATCTCCCACTTTGTTGTCCAGCTCCGCGACTCCGACAACCACTGGACTACGGGTCAGCTCACAGTGATAATTTCCAAAGCTCAAAAAAGAATGAAAAATTGCACGAGTTTAATATTTATTGTGTAACAAACTATGAAAAATAAAGGTTTGTGCATTTTAAAAGTGTATTTAAATTGGATGAAATTTCTAGTTCGTATGTATGTCATCGACAACACGCGTACAATTCTAACAAATAATAGGTATTCTTTTAATGCGTTGAATTTATTTTGTCTGGTTTTCGCGATAAATTTTCACGAACGAATGAGACTATAAACGAGTAGTGAATTGAAGCCTCGTTGATGTATAAATATGTGGCGCAATGAACAAAGCGACATCCATGGAATGTTTTACTGCATGGGACATAAAATATGTAAAATGGATATGCACGGTGAAGGCTCGAAGTATTCAAGTATCTATACGACATGTTTCGGTAGTATGAATTCAAAGGAATAATGTCATTTATATGGACAAAACGCACTGTAAATAATTCCAATCAAAGATGTCAATAAATGTTTCCCAAATACCATTTGTTTCAGTGAGATCGGAGGTGTTGCCGAGCAGGACGTTCGCGGTGACGGGCTTGTCGGGCGGGGCGGACTACGACATCCAGGTTACGGCGCACAACGCAGCCGGCGCCACCAGGGCGCTCTACTCCATCTCTACCCCGCTACCACAAACTGATGGTGGGCACTAAGTCTGAAATTCATAGAAAGTTTTATTTTATTCATTTTCGAAGTCTAACTTAGCATTTATCTTGAATAAGTATCACGTTTGATTCTTTTGGTAATCGTTAGTCGGTTAGTACTGAACGATTGGCGAAAGTCTGCCTATTCTATCTGTCAATTACAAATAAAATTGGATAATGAAATATTTTTAATTAGAAAATTCCCATTAGCTCTGACGGGCATCAGTTTGGAAGAAGCTATAGGAGGTTCTTATAAACGGGGCTAGTATAAACTGCGAGTGTTCGCTGCAAGTTTTCACACTTCTACTTTTGCCGGCTGAAAGCATAAGGTCTTGTACACGACGCGAATAGTTGCGTCGAATAGTCGACGCAACTAAAATTTGTGATGATTGACGTCTTCAGAGGCGACTAGCTGTTGCATTGCACGCATGGCAACTCAAGTTGTTTTGAAGCAGTCGAGCCGGGTGTGTTCGTTATCACTGGCAATAGGCCGTTGCTACGGCGGAAACTATTTGCGACTAACTCAACGTCTGAGAATGCTGCTGTTGAGCATTGACCTATGTCGACCCGTAGTCCTCAAAACCTGCTTAGTGTTCCTGTTGATCGCCACTGTGAGCAGCTATGTCGCCAGTTATCGTTCGGCTGCCTCAACATCCGCTCGCTGAATAACAAGGTTGATGAGTTTCTTCACACTTGTCGCTCGCACTCACTAGATGTTGTCTTCCTGACCGAGACCTGGGATGACGCTGACTCAGTTTGCATCGCGCGTCTTCGCGCTGATGGACTCAAGGTAGTCGAGCGCGCGCAGCCCTGCATGCAACCCGACACCCTGGCGATGAATTAAGGTGGATTAGCTACCGTCGCCAGTGGGGGCTTGCACCTTGCCATCGGTCCCCAACCCACCACTTTTGAGCTGCTATGTGCTAGGGTCACCTGTGCCTCATTTACGGGCATTGCATTCCCCATCTACCGTCCTGGATCAGTTGCTGTGTCGCGCGAATTTATCGTCGAATTGAGCGATGTCTTTACCGTGACTTTAGCCGTATTATGTCCTTATCACCGGCAACTCGAACGTTCGACTGAATCGCATCGAAGACCTATCGGTTCGTCAGCTGAACGACCTTCTGGCCACCTTCGGCATGGTTTGTCACGTGACCTTGCCGACGTACGACGGCGTTGCTGGGCGTTGTCGTCACGCATGGTGGCCTTTAAAGTCTGCCAGTCGACATCATCGAGACCGCAATATCCGTCCATCGACTACTTCGGTAGACGAAGCCATGTGTGTGCGTTGTGCCAGCGTACGAGACTGTTACCTGTAGTCCTTGGCTCGGTCTCGACGGCGATGTCTTGCGTGAAGAGCTGCAGTCGTCCCGACTATGTCGGCCTGACTCATGGTTGGCACTACATCAGTCAACAACCTCGCACAACTCTACAACACCGAGATAGCCTATGCACTCGATAACCTCATTCCTGCTCGCACAGTTCGAGTACCCCAACGAGTCTCGGACCCATGTTTCGATGAAGTCTCGAAGCGGGGGATTCGACTGCTCCAGCGGGCTGTCAACCGAGCGAACAGACGCGGCAATCCTGCTGCTGCCAATGCTGTGGCCTCCACCTGGCGAGATGCGTGGCGCAATTATGTCGACCGTCTTGGTTGTAAAAGTCATTTTGGCGCCAGAGAGTCGACGCTCAACGCAGCTATCCTCAAGAGCTGCGGCGTTCGCTTGATAAACTTGTGAACGATGAACATCGTTCACTAATTATTCGATTGATGCGATCATTTGTTCTCATAAGCATTTTGTTCATTCTGGCGAAAGTATTCTATTACGTCTGGCGAAGCTGCGCCAGTGACATGTGAGTCAGACCTATAGCAGGTGGAACTGTGTAGTACTAGGTCAGGTCTGAGCAGCTGGGCGTCAGGTAGACACTAGTCAGTCGTGTCCCGCCAGCCCTACAGTGAGGTTCATACCTGAACCCGCTCAGCTCTGTTAATTAACTCTCAGCATTCTTTGCTTAACGCTGGAGTTGTGGCTGTGCCGTGAGGATTTAGTCTTACCTGCTATCGTTCGCCACGCTAATTAATGTAACCTTAACTACGTGCATTAATGCTGTGCTATAATGAATAGAATTGAACGTCTCTCATAATAGCTATTTTAGTCGGAATTTGCCCTTCACCAGATTTTACTGATTTTAAACAAGGTGATTCAATTAACTATTTTAAGTGTGTTTAGTCGTGATTATTCCATGGCCACTGAACCGGCTTTAACTATGACTGAGAAAGTTGAACGGCATTGTAAGTTTGAATTTAGATGAATGAGCACAGTTGCTTGGGAAATTATTCATTCATTGTCCTGGCCTATGAGCGGTGAGCATTCGATCCTGATAGTGAATTACAAGCCTAACGTTCAGATTGAATTGTAGTAGCTCTAGCCGGTGACAAACTCATGAGAAAAGGTCATACAGAGTTTTAAGGTGACCTAAGCGTGGAAGAATTCCATGCGGTTTTTTAACATAAAACTTCTGCTGTACCAGCAACGTCAGCCGATGCTCCGCCATCATCATTTGCCCCGTGTCCGTTCGACTGCGGGCTTCAAGAATTCACTCGCGTCACAGCTGACGATGTTATCGCTGCTGTGCGCGCGCTGCCCAACAAGCGATGCCATCGCTGCCGACGTCGTTACTTAAGGGGGGAATGTTGTAACCCTAGCAAGTTTTCTGGTCGAACTTTCAAACCGCTGCCTCACTGACAGTGTTGTTTCGAAGAACTTCGAAACGGCTTACATTACGCCTCTATTAAATAAACAAACCTTTGTTGGGAAGTTTCCCTACGCAGGAGGTAATCCTCTTCTAGAAATTTCCTACTTAGACCGCTATCAAGGATTATGACAAATTTAAAATTTAAGCAGATTTATTTTATTTTTCTCAAAGGAGCTAGTTCCAAATTAGCGTCCTTGCTTCCAGTATATAAGAAAGAAAGGTCCAGGCGAGCATTAGGGAGGCAGACGTATGAAGTTTCTCAAGTTGGGATACTGGGTATAGAAATGAACAAAGTTAACCCCACACCGAAACCTCAACTTCGCTTTAAGTAATATCAGTATCGCACAATTCATAGATTGACTAGAGAAATGCTCACGTTATTTAATGAAAAATAATTGCACAGGTAGAGCTGTGCTTTCAGAGAGAAATTTATATGCGTTGCAGCAATTGTGCATAAGCGAGTTTAATATGCAATAGTTCCAAATTAATAAACGTCACCATAGGAAGGAGCGTTGAACTCTTTGGCCATTTAAGCTCAGTTATGAGTCAAGTTTTTAAGGTCATAAATTTAAAGCGCGTATCCAATTTATCAAGGATACATTCTAAATTTAAGACTTAATATAATTATAATTAATTACAATTGAGCGCAAGTACCGCATTTGGTTATTTAAGAGGTCGGTCAATAGGGTTTAGCTGGCTGGCCAAAGTGATCAAATATAGAAGTGAAAAGAGCATGCACCCCAAATAAAAGATCAATTAAGCAAGGGTTGTGCACAACAAAAAAAAAGAAGATTAACAGCAAATAAATCGGGAAACTATGGCGACACAGTTAAGGTAGGTATGGAACTTTAATGACCGCGCTATATGAGCTCTTGTTAATGCTCGTTTTGCAGGTTGGGAAATTTTCCCAACACCTTGACGCTTACGATCGCAAATCATATCGACCCATCTCCAACCTGTCGATTTTGTCATTACTCTTTGAACGCCTTCTGGCGCGACAGCTGAACAACCATCTTCAGCAGTCCGGTCTGAGTCCTCGCCTCCGGTCTGCATACCGTCATCTCCACGAGACGGAAACCGCTAGGCTGAAGGTGCTTTCAGACATACTGCGCGCAGTAGACCGTGGCGACATTGCGGCACTAGCTTTACTCGACCTGTCGGCCGCGTTTAACATGGTCGACCGCGCCACTTTTTTGCTGCGAATTGACGTATCATTCGACCTACGCAGCACAGTGCTGCTGTGGTTCTAGTGATATCTCGGCAATAGATTCCAATGCGTTCGATGCGGTAACACTCTTCTACTCCATCTTTGGTCAATTACGGCGTAACACCGGATCAGTTCTCGGCCCGGTCCTCTTCCTGTTATATACTGTCGACGTATTGCATATAATTGATTCACATAGTTTGAATACGCATATGTTCTCCGACGACAGCCAAATTTTTGACTACGGTGCACCGATTAACGCCGCAGCGTTGCAGGATCGAATGTCTGCCTGCATGGACACTGTCTCAGACTGTATGCGCTCCAAGCGGCTCCAGCTCAATGCATCAAAAACCGATAATATTTGGTTTGCGACTGATCGGCGCCAGCATCAGCTTCCGGCTAACCCTGTTCGCGTGGGTTACGAGTTGTCATGCCTGCGTCCGCAGTTCGCAACCTATGAACCTGTCTCTTATACACATCTAGATGTGTATAAGAGACAGCCTCACGCCATGTAACCTTGTTGCACAATCTTTCTCAACTATGACATTCATAGTCTTTATTAATGGCATTAATCATTTAACTTCATAGCATTAATCNGGTGTTCATGTTTGGGCCTTCAGGCCAGGATGCGTCTTGCTTGCTCCTCTTTATATAGCTTTCCTGCTTCACATAAACACTCAAGTTAGGCTTCTTTAGTTGTTACTGTAGCTCTTGATGGTCAGGCGCACCGCGTGCTACTGCATTGGCTGCCAAACTGTTATTTTTTCCAATTTGGTTCAGCGGTCTTGCGAGATTCACAAACTACACAGTTAGACCGGCACGATTTGTCCAGTGCAAAATTGTTTCTAGAGACCCAGCGCAGTTCGAGACGACGCACTTCTTGCCTGCAAGGCAAGCCTCATGTGGAATAAGACGATCTTAACGGTCTGGCAGTCGGGCTGGTTGCACTGGAACATTAGAAGAACGTTACCCCTCTTGAATACAAACATCCATGATCCATCGTACTGCACAGATAGTAATGTGTGCTGCTGAGGCTCGTATAATCTCG